TATTAAGCACTTATGGATATTAACATAAATGGAATATATTAAGACATCTAAAATGCTATTTACATTATCCATTTAAACAATTTGGTTCTCCCATGTTATCATAAGTTGCAAAAATTCAGATTTATCAAGTTAAACATGGCACATATACCACTATAAAATGGTTAGGGTTAACTTAAGTATAGATTGTATTTGAAGTGCTGAGTTGATATGACAATGCTATAACACAGGATTCAAAGTTTTGTATCAAAGTTTGATTAAGTATGGAATATAAATGTTCATAATCTAGCAAGCTGTCAAATCATTGTGTGTGTTTATCAAAACTTAAATTCTAAGTCCATATTGGCCATGATCTCAAAAATAATATTTTAATATAAGGTAATTTTATTTTTGCTTTAGTAAATTTTTAATTATGGCATATCTTTCAAACATTAATGCAAAAGTTTATAATCATATAACAAAACCCTATTATTTTAAAAAAAAACCTGACAAATGCAAACTCCCCTTCCCTTAAAAAAAAACAATATAAAATTTGCATGTCCTTGTAAAGATGAAAAATCAAAAGCACGTAACATTATTACAATAATAGCCCTGGAGGAATTTGTTTTACTTTCCAAGTAAGTGATATGCCAAAAACAGAGAAAGAATCTTTCAACAGATGTGTCACAGTTTTCATCCTCTGACTTTCCCTGAAATAACGAAACTTATAAAAAGAAAGGAAACTGAGGTTGTCTGGAAAATGTTTTTATCAGAAAATTTATTTTTCTAACAGACATCTTTAATAATTAAAAAATAATTTTCTATTTATCAAATTTTCAAAAGGATACAAAATCCAACAATTCTTTGGTTTCATAGTTGCATGACCTGGACAACATGGTATATGGATAATTCTTGGCTGATTGAAAACAAAAGAATAACATATTAAACATATCCAGATGTTTCACAAAACAATTGTTCTTAGCAGAGTTTTGTTAAAATTCCAGATTTGTTCCTTCAGGACTCCAAGGAGTAGTGACATAAAGCATTCATATTATGCTTTGGTAAGTCATGGTAAACTTACACGTGTATTGTCTCTACAAAGTGTTAAAGTCATGGTAAACTTACACGTGTATTATCTCTACAAAGTGTTAAAGTTATGGTAAACTTACACGTGTATTATCTCTACAAAGTGTTAAAGTCATGGTAAACTTACACGTGTATTATCTCTACAAAGTGTTAAAGTCATGGTAAACTTACACGTGTATTATCTCTACAAAGTGTTAAAGTCATGGTAAACTTACACGTGTATTATCTCTACAAAGTGTTAAAGTCATGGTAAACTTACAGGTGTATTATCTCTACAAAGTGTTAAAGATTTTCACAATATGTTAAAAAATGAAATCATTACTTATGTTGACAATCCTTGGCATTGATTTCTAGTTTACAGTTTCAATCGTGCATGCATATTAATTAATAAATGTAATGTTTCTTATGCAGTTATCTAGATACAAATGATTTGGTTTGTTACGAATTTCACACAAAGCTACATGAGGACTATCTGACTAGCCATCCCTAATTTAGCGGTACAGCTAGTCAAACCATCTACTGCCAATTCTTGTGCTACTCTTTTACAAATGAATAGTGGGATTGATCATCACATTATAACACCCCCACGGCTGAAAGGGCAAGCATGTTTGGTGGGATGGGGTTTCGACCCAGTGACCCTCAGATTGCGAATCGAGCGCCTTAACCACCAGACCCAGATACAAATGAACTCCAGTTACAATTTCAAATGAATTTCCAATACTATTCATATAAATGCAACAAAATTGAACCTTATTTATAATTAATTCTTACAAGCATATTGCCTGATGTGTAACTCATTATATATTCTAAATACAAACTTTATTGTTAAAGTTCACAACTTCAACTTTCAAAGTTCTATATAAGATTATTACTCTGGAAAGACTGCATTGTGTTTGAAGTTGTTCAAAAGCTTAGTCCCATGTTTTTAATATAATAAACTTCCAAGAGATTTAGTACTAAGTAAAGAATAGACATTTAAATATATTTTATATAAACCCATACATTGATAAATATCTTGCAAGTTATACAAATTTAAAAATTAATTTGCATATTTATTCCTTTTTTGCAGAGCAAGTTTTATCATATTAAACAAAGTGTTGTATAGTTTGAAAACAAAACATTTGTTAAACTTGTGAAATGATTAAAAACTAACCTATATTAATGTGACATTCTTTATATGCATCTCTGTCTCGAACATCTAACAGCACATAAGGTAAACTTGCTGCATCCAGCAAAACTGGATTGTATTCTCGAGAATTTTTAACACCCTTTCTTAAATCTAATTCTCCAACTCCACTGATGACACTAAATTCAAAGTAACAAAAAATTTATGAGCACAAATACACAGCTTGCAAATTAGACATAATAACTTTATCTTTTTCAAAGTTGGATAAGTTGTCTTACACACACTGCATACTATGTTTAGTATATTATTTTTTTATTACTTTTAACTTGGTTATATCTTAATTAACAATAAAATAAACGATGAGATATCAATCCTTACCCTTCTTATGACTTGTAAATGACTTAAGTAAAAACAATAATAATTACACTTCATTTACTTAATCTAGTTCACATCATAACAATTGTCATCATCCAGTTGATTATATAAGTAGTGCCTATACCACTACTGTGTCTGTAGCATCATAGCCGGCCTTATAAGCCATGGTATTGGGTGAAAAGTCTCCACAATTTCTCATACAAAAATGTCTAACTTCACTTTATTTAATAAAAAATCTTGATAATAATATTCTGATTAAGAAGTTAGCACACAGGATCACATACACAAGTTGTAATGGTTATCAAATGTGACCCAAAACTAGAGCACTCTTGAACAGTCACTATTCTTCTTCAGCAGAATAAAAGGTTATGTTTAATGGGTGTAATGAAATATATAAGCACGGATGTTGACATCGCGTAAACTGGATGTTCAATATGAGTTAGCCTTGAGAACAAGCCAATCATAGCTAGAGTTGTTGGTGTCAAGTTTAGTTTGTGCCAAAGAAGTGTGTACAGTACATAAGACTTAAGGGTGATAATAGTTATAAGAAATGTGAACCAATTTTTATAAAGATAAAAATAAAATAATGGCAAAAAGTGGTGGAAAGTAAGAGAAAATGATAATGTGATGCAATATACAGGAAATAATACCATTATAGAGAACTTAAAGCATGAATAATACTAATAATATAAAGTAAGTTTAATTATGAATTTAATTTTGAAAGTCTTTTCAGAGACATATGAAAGTCAACAATCCTAAGGATTGAAATTGATGCCATTTGGTATTACAATATTTAATAGTGCTATCCAGGAAGCTTCTATAATTTCCCTGTTTCTGTTAGATGTAAAATTTGTCTCTATACCCATCAGTTTAACGTCTTCAGAGTGTTCAGGCATGTTAAAGTGTTTTGCGACCAGAAGTTCTTTGCTTGTTTTGATTTGACCTACATATTGGAAGTTGGATTTTTGGCATTTGATTAAATAAATAACGTTTTTGTAGAGCAGGTTATAGGTTTAGTGATTTTTAACTGCTTTTGGTTGTTTTTATCAAAAAATTTGTCTGTTTCCTGCATGAACTTGTAGGTTTGGCATCATTTGCTATTGCAAGGATGATTTCCACTTGGTGTCAATTTAAAGTTGACTTTAATGTGAACTAGGTGTGAATGCAAATGATGGGGACAGATACTTCCTCTACAACAATGCTTCCACCCACCGTGCCCGAACTTGCATGCATAGTTTGACAAATATAATGAAGACTTCAGGCATCTCCAATGGCAACAACCCCCTGTATCTCAATCCAACTGAGCATATGTTGGATGAGCTTGAAAGATAAATTTGCCTACTTTGCTCCATGAATTGCACACGGACATAGTTCAGTTGCAAAGGATACTACATTAAATTTGCTGTAGTTGGTTTATTTGATAATGCTACAATATGTTTTAGTATCCCTATATGTAAATTTTGGGTAATTCATAAGGAATAACCAATTGTAATGCACTGATAAGTAAGTATTTGCCTGCCACTTTATGAGGGACTATACCTAATAACAGATTGGGCCACCTTTTGGCCAAATAACAGTCCATCATATAATGTGCCATAGAATCCACAATGTGTTGAAAAGCGTCCGGAGGGTTTCTCCACATTTAGTCACTAATATTCAGTGTTCATAAGCTCCTTCAGCTGTTTTACTGTCTATGGAAAGTTCTTTAAAAATTATACTTTTACTTTTAAAATACCAGACAAGATAAGTTCTAACCAGACTATTATAAAACCATAACATTTTAACAGACAATAAAAAAAACATAATAATAATAATAATTAAGTTGACAGACCACACTTCACAATACCAGAATAGGGAAATGTGTAGCAATTCACTTCGTTAATGCTGTCTTATAACAAAAAGACAAGCATCGGTATATTCAGCATTACTTAGTCTTGAGAAACCATGAAAAGTCTGACACATCATAGTTTTAAGAATATCAAAAGTGATACACCAAATATCAATGAGATACTGTTGAAGTGATAAAATTCAGGACATTTTTCAACCTCACAACTTATATTAGTAGAAATCTCTTAATGGTTTGTTTTTAAATGTTTTACACATCTCTCAAGGATAATTAAATTGAAGAGATCTTTAAAAAGTAAGTAATCTTTATAATGACTTCACCTGATACACCTCTGGTTGAAAGTATGCAAAAGCAAAATGTGACTGTCTTACCTTTGAAATGTTGATCTAGTGGTATCCAGTTCAGAAACTTCACTCTGTGCACTAGAATACTGTTGTACTCCAGGTGAGTTTCCATAACTAGTCTCATCCCTGGCCAATGTTACATCATTAAACTCTCTGTTATCTATAATGATTATTCAAAAAGATAAAACTTACCAGTTACAAATTTACATTTCTAGAATGAACTAGGATTTGAATAACTACTTAGTTCTAATTCAAGAATAGCTAATGATTCAGTGTTTCAGGGAAATATCACCCATTTGAACATATTTTAATGATACAAAATAGAAATTTAAAAACAGTACATCTGAGTGCCAAGTTTCTAGAATACTCATACTGAATAAGAATATTAGCAGCATGAGACTTATAGGTCTCTGCCATATGATAGTTTAAAGATTAGGGAAGAGATGCTTGTTGAGACTTAGAGGTCTCAACCATGTATGTGAGTAGGAAAAAAAATGCATAATGCTTAGAAGGCCTCAGCATGTGATATTCAAGTGAAGTGTACGGAATCATCATCGAGAAGATTTACATTTGGAGTGGATAAACATATGGAGCAACCCTTATAGTACTTGAGTACAAGGGTATATGTAAAGTCACATATAAATTCAGTTTCATAACAAACCCATAAGGTAGGTTAGAAATTCTAAGCACTTTCAGAGTCAATTGGATTAGAAAAAAGAATTAAGAAATGTTGACAACCTCTATGTCCACAGGAAACTACAAGTATAGAACAATAAGAGTCAAGGGACCTCACAGCTGAGTGAAATGAAACATTTTTTGCCCACAAAAAAGATTCTATCCACATCATATAAGAAAGAGCATCACCCTTGTATCATGCTGGAAACCATGAATAAGTTCTTATCTGAGGCAATAAGCAGTTTCATGGACACGATCAGTTACAGCAAGTGTCAGAAACATTGGGTTGATAAATAATAAAGCAATAACATGTGATGGAACTTGGAAAATGACTTAACAAAATGTCACTTAGTCCAAACTAAAAAAAAAAATAAAAAAAATAAAATAGAAAAACTGCAAGACAACTTCAAGAAGTAACTGGAAATCCAAAACAAGGACACGCAAACATGGCATAAACTGACCTCAGTATAAGATAGAAGGTTCCTTACATATATTTGCTTAGTTTATAAAGAAATCTGAGCAGTTACTGCAAGGTATATAATCAGATGAGGCATTTGAGGAGAGGTAACCAAGAAATCGTATGGCAAGTGAAAAACAATCTTAAAGCAACTGATCAGAGATATCAGGAACAAGTGATCACTCAGATTCAATATAACAATGAGTAAACAACTGTTAAGATTATCAAAAAGAGCTCATTATAAGCCACATAATAAAAAAGATAGGATACTAAACTGTCAGGTAAGAACCAAATAATCAAATGGAAAGGGAAGTAGATATGGTAAAGCATCTCTTCAGTGTCCTTAACCATCCAAGTCTTTCGAAGGGAAAACAATTGCAAAAAAGAAATAAATAAAAATGACTATAATCTAAATACAGATGTACTAATAGCTTGAATGTTCAATTTAAAAACACTAAGCAAACAAAAACTAAAACCAAGTCTGAATAGACCACACAAAAAAAAGGAACAAAACAAAATTAATGGTCATGGAAACAATATCGTTATCCTAATCAGTACAAAACCATGGACTTTATGTTAAACTTTGAAAAAATAACCAAGAAAACACTAGAATGCAGAAATGAATCTCTGGAAGAAAATTAAAAAGTATCAGGAAGATGAAGGAAAAGAACATTATCTCTTTCCAAAAAAACAAAGAGGATAAAAATTTTGTAAATTAAAAAAAAAGAAGTGAGAGTGGGTACAAAGGAAAACTTCCACTAAAACCGATCTAACTTCCAGTTTAATTAACGATGCAAATAATAGAGGGACAGTAAGAAAATGTCAAGGTCTTGGAATGGAAAAACAAAACTGCCGGAACGGAGCTAATAGTATAATGAAAGAGTGACACATGAAGTTGTTGCAGAGAAGTATAAAAAAATGTGGGCCCTTTTTTCATCAGGTGAAGAAGAGAAAAACACAGTATAAAGCATGGGATGAGCATAAAAAGAAATGTCAAGGATCAGTTTACAAAAAAAAAAAGGAACAACGAATGAGCCAAGACTCAACTAAGAAACATAAGCATACAATAAAGAATGTTGGTGAAAGAATTTGACACCATGTTTCAGCACAGAAGGTATAACCATAAAAAAAAAATATATAAAAAAACTTAAGAAGTTAGCTGATGCTCCTCAATCTTGAGAAGTCAGCAAATGATAATTAAAAGTCAAACTTTTTAATACCAACTTAATAATGAATATTTTTAATGTAAAGAGATCTTTAAATGACAATCTTAAATTTCATACATATCCATAAAAATTCACAGGTTGAACACTTCCCACACTTCTTCTCATTAACGAGCAACAACTACAGCGGTGTCTAAAGTAGCATAAAACACAAAATTAAAATCCCTCCCCAATGTATACAAAGACTTCACACAGTGACAATTAACCATTTCGTATCTACACAGTTAACCACTTTATGTCTAGACAACTTTTTTGGTTTTTACCATCCATAGAGTGCACTCCAAAAGATCTATCAAATTAAACATGCAAAAAATCAATATTTAGAGAATTTCAAGTATTTCATCATGCATATTTTTAAATGAAATTATGTAAATGTAAAATTGCATTAAAACCAGAAGTATTTACTGGAATATCAGCATTTATCCACTATCACAAAATTAACCAGAAAAGTATATATATATATCACTAATACAATGATCAACTACCATGTGAAAGCTCACACTCTTTCAAATATGAATCTTTAAATATTCAACAGCAATGACATTACAAACTGGAACAATAAAACTGTAATATGATAGAGGGAGCTTTCATCAGGTAGATTATGATACTGGTGTGAACAAACTAGATTATTTGAATAAAACTTTTAAGTTTTAGAAATGCTTTCTACCTGTTATCTTAACTTATGACTAATTCATACAGTTCTTTCTTTTGAAAGTACAATAACAAGAGCTTGATGAAACTGATTTCTTAAAATCTGCACGGTTCACATGAAATAATGTGAAGAGCATGCACACCATTAAATATTTTTAGTTACATGCTTGATAGAGTTTAATAATGAGGAAATTCATTGTTGTTTTATATATCTGTATCAATTGATTGCTTTATCCACATGTACAGAAGTATTCAACAAGAAAAAACAAACAAACTGGGATCTGGCTGATGAGGTTTAGATTGCCATTAACAAATGCACACAGGGCTATACATAATGTCTCACAACAAACTAAAAATTTTATAGTCCAAAAAAGACATTACATTGGCTGGGAAAATCAAAACTGCTTGAAAGACCCAAAATCACTTTCTATTCTCCTGTAGTCTTGTTGAAAGATTATAAAAACTTGAAGTTGTGTAAATTTCAGAAGACTTAGATTTAAATGTAAACAAATGTATTTAAATAAGTAAATTTGTTTAAAACATATCTAAGATGTTGTAAGGGTAGAAAACAAGACATACATTTAAATTATCATTATCAGAAATGTGTTGACATCAGAACAAAACAGGAACAGACACTACAGTATGAATACACGTGTATATATACTTGTGCATGTAGGGGATATAAATTATATATATTACAGTTAAGTCTAGAAATATTAACCAAGTTTTTATATACTGAATTCTAACCTTAGGAAAATTTATACTCTTAAGTGGAAAAAATTTTTTTTCAATAGCCTATTGGACGTTCTGACAACTATAATATAGACAGTTGTGTGTGTTTATGGATATGTTTGCATAATGCAAGTACAATATATACAAAATCACTAGGTAAATTTTATACCAACATTACAATTAAACTTAATTTATCATAAGAATGCTTTAAGTGTTGTAGTAGGTTAAATAAAACTATAGTTTTGTACAAGGCTATTTTTACTCAAGTGTCTATAACCATAACCTTATAAATCTTTTGTAAATCAATGAGATTTTACTCATTAATAGTGAGAAAGCCAATATAGAAACAATAAAAAAAATTAAAATTTGGGATATCTCTCTTACTTTCTGTTGCTTGTTGCTGTAATTCTTTGGCCACTTCTATAACCTATGAGTGAAAACAGTTTCTCAATAACTCTTAATACATGATAACTTAAAACAAGTTAGTACAAAAAGTTTAAATGTGTTACACTAATTCATCTAAACCAAATTATATTGTCCAAAATATAAATGCATGCAAATTTATTGTTAGAATACAAACAGAGATTGTTTCTATAAATTTATTAAACCTTGATGGAGTAAAGATTTCATTAAGATTTTTGTTGATCTTAGTTTTAAATATTACAACATTAAAACATTAAATGCATAGTTTTATTAACACATTAGTGTCCTCGCTAATCTTCAATGTTTTTTGATGCATAAAACTACTTTCTGGTAAATTCGATGATGAGGAACCCACTTTGAGACTAATAATGCTTGGAGACGGCTTGAATGGCCTGATGATGACAAAACCTTGTCGAAACATTGTACATTTGCTGTTATGTTAAACTTATATTGAAGTTTTTCTTCAGTACCCATTCAAGCCGTCTTCAACTATTATTACTTTATAGTAAAATACATTATTCGTACAACTTACAGCTCAATTAATTACACAAGTTTTAGTCTTTCTTAAAATATTCTAAGTTTATTTAAAACTATTTTCATGTTTCACAATAAATAACTATTTGGTACTATTGTTATCAGAATGCAAATGTAAACTGATTCAATACTACTAATCTCTAGACAGAATACAAATGTAAACTGATTCAATACTACTAATCTCTAGACAGAATACAAATGTAAACTGATTCAATACTACTAATCTCTAAACAGAATACAAATGTAAACTGATTCAATACTACTAATCTCTAGACAGAATACGCATTCTGTTTAGAGATTAGTAGTATTGAATCAGTTTACATTTAAATTTAAACTGATTCAATACTGCTAATCTCTAAACAGAATGCAAATGTAAACTGATTCAATACTACTAATCTCTAAACATAATGCAAATGTTAGCTGATTCAGTTCTATTACAATGATCTCTTTTTCACTAAAACATGCTGACTGCTTTAACAATCATGTAAAAAAAAAACACTTACCAAAGTCACAAAAGTTGAAAGTTTAATTCGTTTAAATATTTCTCCTTTTTTGTACTTTACATCTACAGAGGAAATGAAATAATAAACGTGTACTGTAAATCAATATCTTACAGAAAAGTAAACTGCTAAATAATGCAGAAAAACAGAAAAAAATGCACTTAAAATAAAAAAGAAATAGTGAAACTTTGCAGTTCAGTTGAATTCCCTCTTCACCTCTATTACCTTTAATGCAAAGTAAATTTGAAACTATCACAAAATTAAAGCTCACTTTGAGGTCATAATGTTTCAAAATTCGTCATATATGAATTTATAACTTCATGTTAGTTAAAAGAAACCATTAAAATATGTTATTCATCATTTTTTCAAATATAGCATAATATATATGAAAAAACCTGAATAAAACATAATTTCAGTAGTTACATTGTACATTGATTATTCAGGAACAACTAAAGTGCAGTAAAGCATTTACAAATATTTCTCCATGATTAAAGATAGATCAATGTCCATTTGTAACAAATGAAATTAAATATTGACTAGAGCAGGAAATGAGAAGACTCCAATTAAAATGGTCTCATTAAACTTTCTAAATAACCCTCTGAACAATAGTGAACTGTAAATGTTTATCGTGTAATAAAACAAGTCATCATTAGAGTTTCAAGAATTTTCTTTCCATAGGACAAAGATAGATTTAACCCTGATATATATATTTCCTTTTAAAATTAAGAAATTACATCTTATACAATATTAAGATTTGATTCATTAACTATATTTTGATGCCAAGTTTATTCGTATACACTGATAATAAAGTAATTAAATTAAATCTTGGATGTAACTCTAAACAACTGTGACATGTGCAGTTTAACCTACCAGTATGGAAAGGGTTAAAAAGGCTGTTCTTTTATTACTTCTCTTGGTGATAAATTTCATTGAAAACTGGCTGGGAAATACTATTCAATTTGTATATTACTTGACAAAATAAAAGTAGAATGACTAATTGGGGTAACAATTAAAAGCATATTTTGTTAGGTCAAATCTGATTACAATAAACATTTCAAAACATTTATTAAGCTTTACATATTCATGTTACTATTTAGGGTAGCTTACAAGTATATGCATGGAGTGACCACAAACTGTTTACAACAGTTTTTGATAAATATTTGTAAAACCATCAATTTACTTACCACAATCAATATGAAAAATTCAAAATGTATCAGTCATTACAACTACACAAAATAAATCTTAAGTACACAGGACATCCACTTAATTATTCTTAAAAGCCTTTATCAACCAATTGCTTCTGGTGATGGACGAAAAGGAAAACCTTGCCTTACTAGTCTGTCGTTCTTTTTTAGGATTTTACTTGATATCTGGACAATGAAAATGGTCTGATTTGGTTAACTTAGATTCTCAAAAAAGATTTTGATGAGGTGGCATGCAAGAGACTAGCTAAGAAAATCACATTGGTAGAGGTTGGGGAAAGATGAATTAATTGGATTGTCAGGTGGTTGGGTGGGAGTAAGCAATATGTTCTTGTTATCGGAGTCTAGTGAGGCTGGACCCTTGTTACTAGTGGAGTAATTCAGATGTCAGAGCTTGGGCCTTTGTTCTTTCTCATTTGCATTAACATTTACTGATAAGGACATAATTATTGAATTAGTACAGTTTGCTGATGAGTGTAAACTCTTGTGTATTTTAGCTGTATTGAGGATGTTGTACTATAACAGGGGACAAAATATCCAGGTTTGCATCACAATTTGTGAAACAAAACAACCCCAGTTGTGAATCACTTTCCTATTTGCTTAGCATAATGTATGAATCATTCCTTTCTCTTGTATGTTGTCTTCAAGACCTCCCACAACACGGTGAAAGTGGCGTAACATTTCAGTTTGATATACCAAAGCCATAGCTGATGTTCATTTCTTGGAAAATCCCACCAAACAGCATATACAGTACTTTGTCATGCATATATTGCACATACATACACTTTGTAGTAGTCTGTTCATGATGTTTGGAATGCACACAGTCACATTTAGCATTGAGCCAGTTACAAATTCTCTCTATACAGCCTCAGTTGAATGGACAGACCATGTGACCATTTTTACTTGCATGTAGTTTTAATACTATAACTTTTAATACAGTACATGTATCTTCACAAAATTTGGCAGACTTTTAGTAAACATCAGAAGTCGTTTGTACACAGTTATAATTTTACTATACTGAAAATGTATTTCCGATAGGTACTTACCTCCTCTCCTATTGGAAATACATTTTAAGTATAGGAAAATTATAACTTCCGATATGGTAAATTACCTCTACTCACATAAATAGCTAGAATACCACGTTGAATAGGTGTAAAGACCAGTGCGAGGGATACTCCCCCTAGAGGAGATCTGTGGATTTGAAGATCATACTTGGGAGACCGCACCACTTCTGAATCAGGTATACTCTTTGCCCATTGAGGAAATATGTCACATATATGGGTGGAAAGATGGAACATCCCACCTCCATCGTGTGCATTTTATGGCCATGGAATCATAATATGTAATTCGACATGGTCTTTCAGTGTGGATTTGAATGGTTAAAGAATACCTAGTCAGGCATCACTTGCCACAGAGTGGCATCCAGACAGTGAGTAGCAACAAACAAAAAGACAGAAAAGGGAAAAAGCCCCT